GCGCCCCCCCGCCCCCCGCGGGCCGTTTGCCGGGGCAGCGCCGCGAGCCGGGTCTCTGCCGGGCGCCATCTTCCCCGGTCGCGGCGGTGCGGGGCAGCGCGGTTCCTGCGGACCAAGCCAGGCTTCGTGGAATCAAAGAATCGTTTGAGTTGGAAAAGACCTTTAAGATCATCAACCGTTAACGCCGGCCTGGCGCCATGGCCCCCCTCGCCACTGGCGCCCAGGATGGGGACTGAAAACTCAAAATGCCTTCCCAAAGTAAGGAGAGTGTGTCCCTGCGCTGGAAGTCTTGGAGGAGGGTGCCGCTGAGAAGGAGCTGGAAGGTGGCCGAGGGCAGGGTGGAGCTGTGCACCCTGCAGCCCTGCTGGGTGGCCTGACCTGCTGGGCTGTTTCCAGCTGTTTGGAGCAAGGCAACTTATTTGCTCCGCTTGATTTCTGTCCTCACAGGTCTCCTACCTCAAAGGCTCTGAGAAAAGAGCCAGCTTCAAAAAAAGGCCACATTTTTACACACTACTCTTTGGCACATGCAACGCAGGAGGAAAGAAACGTGAGGTTTTACTGTCAAATGAAATCAGAGAGCCCTGCTGCTTCCTCTCCTCACTTTTCTGGGTTCAAAGCCACTTGCTTTTGCCTCATGATTGCCTCATTTTGCAACCAAAATATAAATGTTCAGTGGATGTAGAAATGAATGGAGAGATACTTTTTCAAAGCAGAAGGCTGGCAATGCAGGGGCCTGGATTCTGCAGATCACCACCCAGGTCCCTTCAGCGGCAGGATGGGGGTGCAGCCCAGTGGTTGGAGCACAACATCTGCCTGAGCACTGGCTCGTGTTGACTGGGCTCAAGAGCAGGTCTCTCAGGCCTGTGGAGTGGGACACACGAGCCTGGAGAGCATGGATGTGTGTGGAAGATGGCTGGTTACGGGGTTCATGAGCTCCCCAGGGGCACAGGCATGTTCTGCTCCATGAGGGGATCCCTGTCCTGATGTTACGTAGTGTCTTTCAGGGATGAGGGAAGGAAACCGGAATGACTGGAAGAAGAGGTGTGTTTTCCACTGCAGCATGGTCTTAGCTTCTCCCTCGAGTCCCCTCTTTTCCCAGGGCAGGAAGAGACAACAAACATCTGAAAATAGTTTGCTGCTCTTTGGAGATCAGTGTAGACTCCAGTGTGTTGCTCCCTTGCAAAATTTCCTGGTAAAAGCAGGCCAAGAGCATCACAACATGGCTGCGTGGACCTCATCCATTCCCATCCACCATGCAGATTTTCATACTGCTCACAAAGCACTTCTGGAGCAATTTGGTTGCCAGGGCTGCATCTCTGCCATGACTTTTCACTGGTTCCAGTGGGGCTCTGAGCTGGAAAGCCCCTCTCAGAGGGACACATTTGCAGCTAGTTCAGGTGAATGTAGGACCCATGAACTGAAGACATATCCATGGAAAGGCCTGCTGTTAGGCTGAGATGCTGGCCCCCTTATGCTGTCCACAAGGAACGCTCCCTAGAGGCGTTGTGAAATCTCTCCAGGAGGCCTAGACCATTAAGGGGTCTCATCACTGCCGCAAGCAAGTGGTTGATCTCCCAGGGTCCCAGTGGGGTGCCCCCAGCTCTCTTCTCCTCCTATGCATGTGAACTTGAAAGCCTGGAGGGAGATTTTCGAGGGAGATTTTCAAGGGAGACACACCCCCACCCTGATTCCTCTTGCAGACTTGAAAGTCTTCTGCCACTGTCTCTCCTCAGCACTGTCACAGCCTGATAAGCATCCCTAGAGCTGAAGGATCTGGAGTCCTAGCTGAAGGTGAGTCATTGCTGTGCTGATGCGCCTAAGGCCCACTGAAGCCATTGTTTACTTTCTGGCTGACTGTCCCCTCTGGGCTTGCATTGCTGAGATGCCTTTTCATCTTCCATTTGGTTGTCCTCCTCTACCCTGTTGTCTGACTGCAGCGGGATGCCAAGATAGGGGACACAGCTACTCTGGTCACGTACAAGCACTTCAGGACAAAGGGCAAACCAAGACATTACAGAGCCTACAGAGAAAGTTGACTCGTGCTTGCGCTGCTGGGTATGTCACACACTGAATATTTTTACTGCATAGTCTTCCTGGCATTCATCATGCTGTAAAGGTTATATTCCATGACAGTGATATTCATGATCACTGCTCTGCCATGTGCTGCACCAACACACAAGCTTGGCCAGCATCGTGGCCAGCATTTTCTTACAAAACTTGTTTTGCATTGGTGTGTCCTCCTCTACATACCCACTCCATCTAAAGTGACGTCCTGTTGCAGCTGAACAGGTTTTCTCAGTAGTGAGACAGGCAAGGGATAGGAGGGTGGTTGGCTTCTAATTTAGAACCTGGGTAGTTTTTCTTCAAAGAAAGCAACACTTTAATTTTCTCCCTCTAAATGAGATTCTGGGAACTGTTTGCTGTAGAGCTGAAAACATTCTTTTCTCCTCCATCATTCTGCCTCTACTTCTGTCCTCCCTGGACAACATATGCTCACAGCCCACATCTCCTCAAGGCAACAGCCCTTTCCTGGAACTGACTTCATATGAGGAGACTCATATGGATGTGAGCAAAAAGAACTGACCTTCAATCCCCTGATTTCCTTGAGAGGGAAAAGATACACTAGAGAGTTTCTCACTGTTTTCTGTTAGAAGTTACTGGACAAGGTTTTCTGGCAGTAGGTCCTGCCCTGCCTAATTTAATTCCAGGAGGTAACTGAAGACTTACCAATGCTCTCTGGTAGTAGCAACAGCAGAGTCATCTTGAGGTACAAGAGATAGTGTGTTTATAGAATCATAACAGCAGATCAGGAGAACAGTGTAGGCTTCTCTTGAATGGAAATATTAACAAAGGACATTTTCAAGCACAGAGAGGCTTGCCTCTTCCTGTCCTTTTATCTTCAAAAAATATGTAAAATCTTAAACTGCTTCCAGGAGCCTGAGATGGACTAAATCTGTCAAAGGATTGAGATGTCTGCCTGCATACATGATCTGCAGTGGCGTATTTCTCATTTGCACTAGTGCAGATCATAAAACAACTCTGACCATTATGTAAACCCAAGGGTTTACACACAGGAATGACCCTTTTTATCCCCATTTTCAGAATGTTCCCCAGTCAAGCAATGATTGACATGTGTCTTGGATGCCTGTCCTGAGCTGTCTGTTGGGCTGCAGAATCTAAAGCAGCCGTTGCTGATACAAGGATGGGCTATGCTGACTTCTCAAAGTGACTGGGAGAACTTCTGAGAGGAAACTGTCTCTTCACAGTCACAGGTCACTCGATGCCAGAGCATGCATGACTTCTGCAAAACTCAGCCTGAGTTCTTGGCATCTTGCCTTGCCTTCTCCTTTCTTGTTTCCACATTTGATCTTCACTTATTCTTTCTTCTTGAAGAAAAGGCAAGCAGAAGGGAAAGCAGCTCCTCGCTTGCTGACGGTCTGTTCTGGCAAGCCTTGAAGTGCTGAATACTATGTGCTGCTCTCCAACCATGGGGGATAGTGAAAAGACTCTCCCAAATTCAGGAGTATGTGTTATTGTGAATTCAAGAACCGTCATGAACACAGCCAGCCTCTTTGGCAAGGAAGCTCAGCCATGTGTGTCTGTTCCCTTCTTAGACTGATTAGCACCTGCCTCCACACCAGACCCTGCCCACAGTGGGAAGATCTCTCCAGTGGGGGACATGTTTATATTGATGGAATTTTCCAGCAGAACACATTTTCGTGACTCGCAATTGAACTTTTTCTTGCAAGGGGCTGGAAGATGTGTGTGGAGAAAGCTGGCAGTGTCTCTGCTACCAAGCCAACTGCTGATTAGGGCTCCTGGAGGTTCCTGCATCATCATGCTCAGGAATGTCCTTAAGCAGTTCAGCAGCTCCCCTTCCTCAGCTGCAACCCTCTATGCAGTCTTTCCTGGTGGCTGTGCTGCTTTGGAGAGCTTCCGGACTCCCCTTAAAGAATGATTGGCCACAACTCCTGCCTCTCTCCTTGCCCTCAGTGTCTCTCCAGAAACTTTCCCCAGGAAACCCACAGCATAGATGGAAGTAGGAGGACGACGTGTGCTGTGTGCCTATTCACCTCATTCTTGCTCCTGCTGTTCTCTGGGAACATTTTCTACCCGAGCCTTTCCCCCCTAGCACAGTGGCATCCACAGCAAGAGGAATTCCTTTTCCTCCCCTTTTCAAGACCTTGTGGGGCTGCTGCCCTCCCCGGGCCTTCCACAGCCCAGGCTCCTCAACTGAGCTGGATAATGGCCACATACCCCATCTATACAAGTGCACCGAGGCCAAGAGGGCATTTCTGGGCAGAGGCTCAACAAAGCTGGGCCTGATGGCCAGGGGCTGAGGAGTTATGTATCCCTTCCTCATCTGCAAGTGACAGTGTCTGAAGGCGGGGGGGTGAAGACTCTGCACTATGTCCCACCCTCCCTGCCTTTGGGAATGGTAAAGGCTATCCATGTGCCCCATGCACCCCTAACTTCCCCAGAGAAACACCCTTCCCCCTAACTGTGTGTGTCTGGAGCATCCAAAGAAGGGAGAACCATGCAGTGACAGTTAACAATCAAGTGTTACCAACCACTGCACAGCCATCCCCCAAAACCTCCTCCCGAAACCCATCCCTGAGCAACAT